AGAGAGAGAGAGAGAGAGAGAGAGAGAGAGAGAGGAAGGAGGGGAGAGAGAGAGGGGCTAGTGGTTACCCACCTGGCAACTTTACGAGCTGAAGCGGCGCTCCTCCCGCTGCTTCTTCGGCTCCTTCAGGAAGACTGTAGTGCCCTGGCTATGGCTGGACGACGACGCCTTCGACTGCTGCTGCTGCACTGGAGACGTGGAGGCAACGGGCAACGCACGGCGGGCGGGAAGGGCACAAAGCTGGACTACCGGGGTTCATCTACGCAGCGAGGGGCAGCACTCCGGATTTGAAACTTCAAAAAACAAATCAACTTCAGCTCCCCCCCTTTTTTTTTTCCGAGGCCCCGCGCGGCCTCAAATTGTTGTTGTATTTTTTTTTTGGTTCGTCACGCGACATCCCACCCCGGCCCAGAACACCCCTCGGCAACTTTTTTTTTTTTGGTCGACCCCTTATTTTCGGGGTGCGCCGCACCCCGTGCGCGTGCGTGCGGGGTGCAGCGCACCTCGATGCGCCGCAAGTATGAAAAAGAACAAAGACGTTCGGGACGTGAAGGCAGCTGTATACAGAACATTGGGTACACATGAGAGTCTGCCAAAGGGCATTACTGCCCTCAGCAAAACACGGCAATAGGGGAAAAAAAAAAGAAAAAAAAAAAGGAAAAAAAGCAACAACTCTTTGGATGTGAAAGCAGCTGGATACAGAACATTGGGCACAAGTGACGATATGCCCTCCCAACGGGCGTTACAGCACTCAGCAAACATGGCTGTCCGGAAAAGAAAAAAAAAGCAAAAACAGCAAAAGCTCTTTGGATGTAAAAGAAGCTGGATACAAAATCTTGAGTACATATGAGAGTGCCCCGTTGGTTGCAAGTGTCAGCTGTCCGTGGAAAGCGCCCTGCCTCGTTGGCAGGGCACTAAACTTCTGCATTCAGAGTCGTCTTTCCCGACACTTAGCATGCGTACAAACAGATGACAATCGCGCTAATGTGGCACTCTCTCTTCAGGCGCCTCTCTTCTTCTCCACACCCGATGGTGACGACGATGATGACGATGATGACGATGGTGGTGCGGACAGTGGGAACCAGCTCTCATACCAATGCATTCAGAGTTGTCTTCCCCGACACTCAGCACACGTACAAACAGATGACAATCAAGCTGACGACTTGCGCCCACACAAAGCTCAGAGATAATGAAGCCAAGAACAAAGCTCAGATTCAAACTTGTCTTCATCGGCTATGGCCAATCCTCGTTTGATCTCAGCAACTTGTTCGTACACACACCCTGGATCTCCCTGGATGTCTTGCATACACCAACACAACACGCTCATATACACACATACACACTAACAGCCTACTCTTGCTGACGTGGCGGCTATGACCGCTGTCTCTCTCCTTCACTAACTAGCTATGACTACATATATAACTATCGCTAAGTTCCTGCCTGTGACAAGTGGACGATCGGGGCCGTCCGATTTTTGCTGCACGGCTGTCCCGATCTAGTATCCGTCCCGCATGCCAGTGCCGGCACCATGCTTGGTACTGGCCCCGCGCACCGGAGCCAGTCGCGCACCGGAGCCAGTACCACACACAGGTAACAAACTTTTTCAGATTTGGGAGGCGGTGCAGGAAAAAACGTGTGGCCCCACACCACACCTGCCCTCCAATCGACTTTTGACTTTTCATACCCTAGGCTACAGCGCTCGACTCCGACTGACTTCTACGCTGCTATGCTCGACTACGACTTCGCTCTACGTTGGACACACGCGCACGCTCACACGCTCACACGCACGCATGCACGCATGCACGCACGCACGCACGCGCACACACACACACACACACACACACACACACACACACACACACACACACACACGCAAGCACGCGAACGTGGTGAGTCCTTGGCCATCAGTACACTTTGTCTTGGGCGGACTGTCGGGGTTCAACCTCCTGACGAGTCGGTGGAAGTCTGACAAAACAGTCTGGCTGAGTCATTGTGAGTTCTGTATACCGAACATAACAACACTCACACATACCCAGACTCACCCGCACAGAACACAGACACCCACACACACGCGCGCACACACACACACACACACACACACACACACACACACACACACACACACACACACACACACACATAGGACACACTATCTCTTCATCCCGAACGTTGGACACTGAGGCTTGAGCTGTGCAGCGTCAAGACTTTCGAACGACCGCGCCTTGATGATGGTGAGTTTGTTATTCGTGTCTGTTGCTTTTATTTTTTGTGGTCTTGGAACTATGAGAGAGGGAGAGTGTGTCCGCGCTCGCGCGCGCGCGCGCGTGTGTGTGTGTGTGTGTGTGTGTGTGTGTGTGAGAGAGAGAGAGAGAGAGGGACAACCTACGACCTGCTGTCAAGTGTATCATCTGCACCAATCAGTTTCATATCTAATCCGCAGTCCATCGGGACCAAAAAAGAAAGAAACGGAAAAAAACGTGCGCGCGCACGCAAGAGAGAGAGAGAGAGAGAGAGAGAGAGAGAGAGAGAGAGAGAGAGAGAGAGAGAGAACTAACTATGACCTCCTCCTCCGCCCACAACCGTCAAGGGTGCGCAAGAGCATCGGAAAAAAAAAAAGAAAGAAAATGTCGTGCCTGTGTGTGTGTGAGAGAGAGAGAGAGAGAGAGAGAGAGAGAGAGAGAGAGAGAGAGAGACCTAACTAACTCTCCACCTCCCCCCCTCACGCCCACACGACAAAGTGTAGTATCTGTTTCAATCGGTTTCATATCCGATCCTACCCCCCCATACGATCAAGCGTAGTAACTGCTCTGTATAGTTGCATATCTGATCCGTGGTCCATCGAGACCTTTCTCTTTAATAAAAGAAAAAGAAAGCACGCGCGAGAGCGAACGAGCAAGAGGGAGAGGGAGAGATAGATAGATAGATAGACACATAGAGAGAGAGAGAGAGAGAGAGAGAGAGAGAGAGAGAGAGAGAGAGAGAGAGAGAGAGACCAACTAGGTGCCTCCCCCCCACACGATCAAGCATAGTATCAACTCCGTTGAGTTTCATATCTGATCCGTGGTCCGTCGAAGGGAGGGAGGGAGGGAGAGAGAGAGAGAGAGAGAGAGAGAGAGAGAGAGAGAGAGAGAGAGAGAGCTCAACTAGGTGCCTCCCCCCCCCACGATCAAGTGCAGTATCCGCTTCGATCAGTTTCATATCAGATCCTTCCTCCCGGCACGATCAAGCGTAGTATCTGCTTCGTTCGGTTTCATACCTGATTCGCGGTCCATTGAGGCCGCCTCATTTTAAACCACCAGTACCTCGCCCAGCTATCAGGTCCGAGGCTCTGACTACCGGTAGCCCGAACATTCCCGAACCTCGGACTTTATTGCCGAGCCTCGGAATTTATTGCTGATAGTACGTCACGGAAAAACAAAACACAAAAAAAAAACATAAAAAAAACAGCCGAAATCATACATGCCCAACGAGAATGAATCTTCCTCGATAAAGAGGAAGATTCATTCTTGTGTGTGTGTGTGTGTGTGTGATGGAGCGAGCGAGCGAGAGAGAGAGAGAGAGAGAGAGAGAGAGAGAGA